AAGCTATTGGGAACACGCAACTGTTTTAATAGTTGTAATCTATACCCTGTCTCTGCAAGAAAGGCAGACGCTAAACAAAGTAAATAAATCATGTTTGGAAACAGCCTTTTGGAGACCAGGGAGCTTCCTTCAGCTGGTTGCAAAAGGACGGTCAGGATCAGTGATAAGATATGAGGGACATATGTGGCCTGTAAGTTTAAGATGGGAAGGGCGGGTGAGTGGAAGTTCAAACTGTATTATGCAACATTATGAACTCAGAGAACCAGTGCACTGAGGACTAGACACAAAACTGATAGACGCGGAACGGAAGTTTCAGGTTGCAGAACTCTAGAACGCCGCAGGAACACACACACCCAAGCAAGGGTGCAAATCTGCATACTCTATTTAGAGCGCAAAACTGAGGTTTTCTTGCCGCAGAGTATGGATGGCCAGCCCAGGCAGTTCGTGTTCTGCAGCAAGAAAAGCTCAACTCTGCAACCTAAATAGATTACGTAGATTTGCACCATTTCTCTCGTTTTGCTCAGCTTCAGCTCGTTCTGTGGCTTTCCCCATCTTGCCCAATTTATTCTGGTTTGCTAGTCATGGAGAGCAGCAATGAGGTACATGAGGCATCAAAGAACCTCCGGAAACCTTATTCCCAGTGTTCCCTCTAAACTGCGTGCTTGAGCAGCCGCTCATTGACACAGGAAGCCCCGCTCAGCAGCAGCCAGGGTCTCGCACTGCCCCGTTGCCCATTTTAAGATTACAGCATTTATATTCTGCTCAGGATTGTGAACTTGCTCCGCTCAGTAGGGGGGAGGGACCAGAGGGAACAGTGTTCCACACACACCCCTGCCCTGTGTGTGTTCTGAGATTTCAGCCGCTCGGAACTACCTTTCTGTTTTAAATGAACCCTGAAATCCTCAAGAAGTGGAATTCTGCACCCAAGTACTGCTTTCCGGGTTCTCCCTGTGATCTTGCAGCATCATATTGCATAGACACAGCCTCGCCTGTGAAACCCTAGCATGGTATTTGGGGGCTGGGGAGAAGGAGGCATCGCCACCTCTTTCCGACTTGCGGCGACCGGCAGCCTCTTCTTTCTTGCCCATATTCGACAACATTCTTTTTCAGTTCCCCTCCCCGCATTATTAGAGGAGGATATTGATTTTAAATCTGTACAGGAGGAGGAGGAGGAGGGCAGGGCGGGGGGGGGGGGGAAGAGAAGATGGTG